GTCCTTCATCTCCCTTTTCACCAACCCCATAATCATAGTACTCCGTCTTAAGAGAAAGGTGGTAAGAAAAGGAGGAGTTGTAAGAATGAAGAGGGAAGCACAGTACCTCATCCTGAACATCTGGTTAGAACAAGGTTACGATCTCATCCATAATTTTCAAGTTTTAACACCACAAGACTTTGCTAATCACATGGTAATTATAAGCAACCAGAAATGAAGTAATGGCTATACACAGACAGTGCCAAGAGAGCTGTACAAATGGATGGGGCTGAGATTTCAGCTCAGTTCCCCAACACTCAGAGAACACCTCTGCCTGCAGATGCAATTCTACAGGCAAGGGTAAATTGGAGACTCCATCACAAATATGATCATAGCCATGAAATAGAAAATATTCTTGAAAGGAACCTTTAGGATCACTTAGTCTGTTCCATTGGCTCAAAGCAGCATCAGCTATATCTAGATTACTTTTTTAGATAATCATACATGAATACAGACAAAAATCAACTACTTAAAATCACATGAGTTTGAAAGTCATCACTGTAAAAACACTTATTAAAATTTAATATTAGGATGTTTCAAAGTTTCTACAAATGACAGGCAAAATCAAAAGGCAATTTTCTGTAACTAGTTTAGAAAAATGATATGAAGAGAGAATTTACACTTACTCGACCACAAGCACCAGGTGGACCAGTGTTTCCTTTCAGCCCCTTTATGAGAGGACAGAGATGGGTTTGTTTATTAAAAACAACACATGGCATGACATTTTCCCACTGTTACTTCAGCACATTAGTCATAACACTGAAGAACTTCTGCTCCTGACCAGTCCATCCCCACACCACCTCTGTTCCTTACACAGCTTTTCAGCCACATGCACTGAAAGCTACAGGAACAGCAGATCTAGCTGGACACCATTTCAAACATAAGGTCTGCTTCAGATGATCCATTCCCTATTCCATGATATCATTACTTGTCATGTGTTTGGTGAAGTAAAACATGTTGCATACACAATGATATATAAAATTATATAATAACCCCCAAACATACCTCATCCTTATCTGCAAAAGCAACAACAAAAACACTGGGCAATACCTTAGCTCCTTGCCTTCCAGCCAGTCCTGGTTTGCCCTGCTCACCCTTTTGTCCCTGCAGGTGACAGTACACAATGTTGTGAGAATTAATCCTTTAGCATTGACATCAGTAATCACTAAAAGGTAAAGCTTTAATCTTTCACAGTGATGACAAGGTGAACACGACTTCCTCAGGGGATGAAATCTCAGTGAAAGACTCAGTTTGATGCCCATGTCTCTAGGAACTGCCACAGTTCTCTCATTCAAACCTGCCTTTATTACAGCACACTCCAACACCCCCAAGGTGGAGACAATCTGGATAGCACAAGTGTAGGATACTCTGATTTGTTCTCCTTCTGCAAAGTCTTTCTGAAAGGGGAGAAACTGAACACAATGGGAGACTCACACTCAACAACCCTCGCCCAGAAGTTGGTCAGGCTGTGTGATGGTGCTGATCTCAAGAGGTGTCAGCCAGACCAGGAGGGAAAACAGTGCAGGCTGCTGCTAAGGCCTTCTACAAGTGTATACACACAAGGCAAAGGGACTTCTCAGAGGCTTTTGCAGTTGAATGCACTGCTAGTTAGTAAAGCTGAAATGGGAACAGAGCAATGACATGTCTTGGTCATGACAGAAGGTTTTCTTTCTGTTAGCTGAGGCAGTAGAGCTTTGCAGTCTGTCATTCCATGTTCTTTGTCAGAATGGAATGTGTTTAGACTGCCTCTGAAGGTCGTTTCTGCATGACAAAGATGATGTTTTAGTAAGACACATGTGAAATGGGCTGCTCTGGCAGTAAGAATTTCGATAAGATATTTGTAAGGTCACTGTGACTCTAATGATGCGAAGTAAAGAAAAGATTTGATATTTAAACAACTGAATATAGTGCTTCAATTACATTTAAACAACTTGATTTTGTTTCAGGCCAAGGCAGCTCTGTCCCTGACAATAACTTTTCATTGTAAAGCAATGTCTTGGATTTTGGTCATCAAAAACTACTCATTTTTCTTCTCCATTTATGTCAATGGGAAGGTTTAACTCTTTTGCAAAAAATTCAGTGTGACTAAGCAGAATAAAACTCAGTAGAATTAAGTCTGCCTAACTTGGAGTGTGTCTCACGCTCTTCAGCCAGTCAGCAGCAAGCACCAGGCCTTTTTACTTTATACAGAAGCAACAACATTTCTAAACTGAGCTTCTCTCTTCTGCATAATCACATGGTGAGTCCCAAGGTCAGCTGTGTGAAAGGAAATGTTTGTGTATGCAAACACATTCTGCAATGAGAAAAAGCTGTGACAGGAAGACACAACCGTGATAAACAGATTATTAGAAAACATTTGAAGGCTTCCCTCATTACCGGTAAGCCTGGGGGACCTGGGGCACCTTCTTTTCCAGGTTTACCCTACAAAGGAAAAATGTAAAATAAAATCAAAACATTTAAAACCAGGGGTCATTGTATTCAAAGTGCACAGCAACTAGATTCTGTGCACTTAACTATATTCTAGGCATGAATTGTAATGAGCCATTAAGGTTGTTTATGAACTGTTTGAAATTTATTGCAGTCACAAAAAGTATGAGAAAAGTTACAAAAGCATCCACATTTGGGCTGAAGGAAATACTCAGTTTGAAAATTATTTTCCTTAATATTGCTTTCATAATGCATTTACAATCAAAATGTTTTGTTCAGAAAATGTCACAAACCATTCTATTCTGATTTATTTGGCTGTTTTAGGGTTCTTTCCTAAGAAAATTTGTTCTGAGTGGCACTGAAACAAAAACTGGGCAGCAATGCTAGTTCAAAGCTGCTTTTCAGACAAGACTAACTGTTTGTACATACCTCTGCTCCAGGTTCTCCTCGATCACCCTTTTCACTTTGAGAATCACCAGCTGGTCCCTGTAACAAACCCACGCTCAAGATACAAAGATTTTGAGACTCACATCTGCTAAATTAAGTATAACTTTTACAATTTTGGTATCTTTAGGAAAAGAAAGAATGAAGTACTTAGAATGCTATTAATACATATTCTATTCATTAGTTCTAGTCTAGCCATTGGGGGTTGGAATAACTAGTGTAAATTATGGAGTGTAAAGAGTAGCATTAACCAGGTGGTGCTGCCCTAATATCTGGATTTAAGGGAATAACTTCTGGTCACTTACTGAAAACCCCATTGGTCCTGGAAGTCCTCTTGATCCTTTTTCTCCTTTCTCTCCTTTCAAGTCCTATTACACAGAAAATAAGAATTTACTATGGTGTCTTGGATTTTTCTGTGCTCTTACACTACTGTGTACAAACAGGAAATCTTCATGTCACCAGGAAGCTTCTTTAAGCAGAGATGGTTCTATTTAACTGACTAAGAAACAGCAACTTCGTATCAGTACTCCTGCCCAAGTCTATGATGTTTGAAAGAGAAACTGGCTGTGCATGTATTTCTGAACATAGCAAGGTCAAAACAACCTACCTGTGAGTGCAGGCAAGGGGACTGCAGCAAATAGCCCCACAAAAGGCAGTAAAGTGCCAGAGAAAAACAACCTTAGTTGCTTCACTGGAGCTACAGTACCTCCAAAACATAAATGCAGGGGCTATTCCATGCCATCCCTGCCTCTGTGGGTGAAAGATTAGAATACTCTAGTGTGTAGCACCATTATGTATTGGGCCACATCCTAAAGTCACTGTAAAGCCAAAGTTTATGGACTGTCTATCACCTGGTTAGACTCATGCTCCAAATTATTTATGTAAGGAGTTTTGAGCAGTTTTAATGCTCAATGTCTCTGAAAAATTGCCATTCCCTCATTGTTAACTTTCACAGCAGTGTCTGGAGAGTGCTCCAGATGGTCCAGGCTTAATTTACACATGGGGAGCCGCTGTGCCTAAAAGCTGCCCCTTGCTTCTGCAATCTTTCTCTTCCCTCCTCAACACAGTCTTGATGCAAAATTCACTTTGTATTATAGTACAAAATGGAGAGGGAATTTCGTCAACTCCATGGATTAGGTGCAAATTCAGTAAGAAAAACAGAGTCAAGAACAGGTTGAAGACTTATCCTGTTAATAGGTGAATACTTAAAATTGTATCAACTGCTGCTGCTTAATTTCTAAGAACAAAATGCAAGAATTTTAATTCACAAAGCAATACTGAAAATGAAAGCTGAATCAGAATATTTCCTTTCTTCAGTACTTACTGCTTTTCCAACACTTTCCATGATTGCTCATGTTTCAGTAAAAACAATGAGAAAACAAACTATGAAACGTACATAAACATGTTTTAAGCTTTTATGAGACTCTGGTAGCTCAGAGTCCTGATGTTTTCAGCAACAAGGCACAGAGGTGAACACAGCTGTGGCTTTGATGGCCATTCGAAAATCCATGTTGATTTAGTGAAGCTGAAAGAGATTTACTCTTCCTGCACACAAAGATCCACAGCAGGTGAGTTACTAATGAGCATGTAGCATCCCAGTGGCATCATGCAGATGTGAACACACAGGTCTCAGCTGAGCTGGCTGTACAGATGTTCTAAGAAGAGCTCAGCATCTAAGTAAACAAGTCTGAAAAAATGTTTGGATGGGTGAAAGGGAATGCTAGCAGGACAATGGAGAAGAAGATGTCCTGTCCAAGTAAAACCTCATGAGATGACTTATCTGAATGTGATGTTTAACAATTTTACTACCGTCATGTTGTCTGGTCCACTCAATGTCACAATAACAGTTCCTGGTGGTCCAGGGGGTCCAGTTAACCCTGTGTCACCCTGGAAAGAAAAAAGAAAAATGGAGCAATTACAAGCAGTGTGTTTTGTTGTTTCAAATTACAGTTACTATTTCTCTTTGCTTGCTCTTTATCTTCCAAGAAAAAAAGGCATAGGGAAGACTTAAACAGAATCTAGAATAAATTTAAAATTCTAATATTTTTTGTTTGTAAGTTACGAAAATATTTTAACTCGAGTAAAAATATCTCCTTGATTGTACTTTTTCTCTCAATTTTATGTCAAGCAGTAAAACACATGAACTCTCTTTGGTGACATCCTCAAAGCTCCAGTTTGTGTATTACAGGAAGATCACAGAACTATAGTGCTGACAAATAAAACTGTCACATGTAATTAACTGAAAACATTAATGCTGCAGTGCACTTTTTCATTAAAGATCTTTCAGAACAGGCAAAGTCCTATATGTGACACACTATTTACTTCCCCAAACATTTCACCACAGCACATCAGAAAATGCAGAAAACAGAGACACAACTTATAAAACCCTGTAAGGTTTTTAGGGAATTACCTTTCTTCCTTTGGTTCCTATTACTTTCAGTCCCATAAGACCCTGTAAAAAAAAAATTCTCAAATGTAATTTTCTTTTCAATTTTAACAACACCTAGAAAATTAGTTAATTGATGTTACACATAATGGGAAGGTTTTGTTTTTATTACCAATCTGAGACTACCTTAGGTCCAGGAGGTCCTGCTTTCCCTGGCATGCCCTACAATAAAGGAAAAAAATAATCCTTAAAAAAATCACAATCTTCAGCATTGATACAAGTGTTCTGAGGTACCCAACTCTCACATGAGCTGTAGCACTATTTTTATTCTTTCTCCCACAGTTACAACTGCAGGTCACTGGGTGACAGACTGTCCATCTAGTCTACTTGCAAACCTATACATATAAACCTTTCTCAAAGTTATACACATTAGAATTTAAAGTGAATTAATGGGTAAACTTTTGAAAATTAATTTATGCTTATATGGACAAGGAGCTCTGTAAACACAGAAATTATCATGTGTACAAATAATTGAAAGAAACTGAAAAAAATACTCAGATGGGTGCAGAAGGACAAGGATTTTACATAGACAAGTGTCTAGACCTTGAGTAAGTCTGGGAGAGTCAGGTACTTGTGTTTGTGTAGTTCTATAGGGTTCAGAGAAAATCAATGGTTAAAGTAACAAGTAAGACATAAATTGATACTCACCAGAGGTCCTGGAGGGCCCTGTGGTCCCAGTTCCCCAGGATACCCTTGAGCACCCTGGGCACCCTGCACATTAAAAAAGAAACAGGAATAAATCTCCTGCAAGATTGTGAGCAAACCAGAGTGTTAAATTCAATGAACTGAATAACAAACAGAGGAGCAACACTATTTCTGGATTTCCTGTCCATGTCTCAGGATAACATAGAACTGTAATTCTTCCTCATTGTTTCACTTCTTGGCACATGTTTTGAAACATGAGAAAACATACCTGTTCTAAAACTAAATTATTCAGGAGGGACATTGAGGTGCTGGAGCAGGTCCAGAGAAGAGCACCAAGGCTGGTGAAGGGACTGGAGCACAAGTGCCATGAGGACAGGCTGAGGGAGCTGGGGGTGTTCAGCCTGGAGAAGAGGAGGCTCAGGGGAGACCTCATCACCCTCTACAACTCCCTGACAGGAGGTTGGAGTCAGGTGGGGGTTGGTCTCTTCTCCCAGGCAACCTCCTGTAACTCCTTTGAGAAATATGGACTCATAATCCATATAGTCCTATTAATAGCCCTAATAAGCCCTCAATCTTTCAAATATTCTATGCAATAAATCTTACACCGCAAAGCTTCATTTTCAAGAGAACGAAAAATTATGTTTTTTAATTTTCTTTTTAATTTAATACTCTGCTTATTGTAAGAGTCAAAGGAAATGTCAGTTCTGCCTCCTCCTATTAATGTCTGCTTTTCAAACACACTCCTGTGTGTCCCTTCTCTGGGTTAAGTGAAGGTGGCCTGTCCACCTTGGCCATGATATAGGTGGATGGACACATGTGATGAGAACTCAAATGGTTCCCACTGTGGTCAGTCCAGTGTCATATTCCTGTGGTTTCAGTGTCCAGATCGGTAGGGAAACAACAACAGACAACCATCCTCTGCATCAGGGTCTGGCAGGCCTTTCATGACCCTCCTCCTTCCAGGCAACTGCAGACAACCATCCAGTGCTGTCCCTGACCTCATGGGTCCCAGGAGTAATGACAGTACCACCCTGAAAGCAACTGTCAGACTCTACCCAGCTTCTCCACCCTGTGGGCAAGGGCTCGGTCACTTGTTCGCATGATGCGCCTGAGTTTGCTTCACTTTTAAAATATGGACCATACTGTCCTTTGTTAGTCCTTGAGAAGTTGTGCTGGTGTAATCTGTGCAATCTTACTTTATTGGGAATTTTGGCAGTTGGATTAGATGGCCATTTTATGTCCCTTCCAACTGAGCTATTCTATTTTATATGTAGGGGTAAACCCCTAAATCTATGACCAGTTTTTCTCCATATCTAAAGTAGTTTGTCTGCAAACTGACTTCCCTCTCTCACTTTACTAACACATAATGGAGACTCTTGGTACTGATGGCAAAATGAATTACTATTTTCTTAGCGTAGTCTGTTTTGTAAAGTCAGAAAAGAGACATATAATCTGATTAATACAGTATGTCAATTTTTTAAGACACAGAATTGTTTCTGGTTTAGAAATTAGTGACATAATTGTAAAAAGTACTATATTAAATAAAGAAAACACTTACATATAATACAAATATA